AATCGTAAAGCAAAACAGCCGATAACGACTAAACTAGACATCGGTATGGTATTGCATCATACGGCTTCTTTGTCCTTTGCTGTTACGTCGTTGTTGGAAACGTATTATTGTAATTTTGTCCTGGGAAACTAATGATGGTTATGAAGATTTAGTTTTCTGTCCAAAACGTCAAAATATGTTGTCTATCCGAAAAAGTCGGATATATAACAGATAGTGTCGGATATCAAATTTAGGCTCGGTCACAGAAAACATACTACTATAACCCAGAATGCCAACCGCATGGTAAAAAGCACAAAGTGTTTTGAGAGAGCTTTGCCTGTCAAATCGTAGGCAGCGCCACCAGCGTTGCTATGCTGAGTGCATGGCAACGCTGGTGGCGCTGCGTATGAATTTACAGGCAAAGCTCTCTCAAAACACTTAATGCTTTTTACCATGTGGTTGGCATTCTGGGTTATAGTAGTATGTTTTCTGTCCAAACCGAATCCGACCCAATTTTTCGAATATCCGCACTCCTCTAATAAATACATTGTTTTGTTTGGTTAAAGTTAGCGAAAAACCGCTAACTCGCTATACAGCTAGACAGCAGCCCTTAAACATCAAAATATATTCTTCATAAAATAGTGATGGGTGGATACAAGAAAATGCCGGTACCGGATCCGGATCCAGATCTTGAAATATTCAAATCCGGATCTTCAGATCTGGAATTTACAGAAATCCAATTTAAATCATATTGTTTAAAATTAAATTGGTAATGTTTAAAGGTTGATGTAATAAGATATAAGAATAATATAGCTTATATGGCTACGCAATATCTCAGAATATGTCGACGTATATAAATTCTAGTGATGGTCGGATCCGGATATTGGACTACCGGATCCGAGCCAAAACCGGCACCGGATCGGATCCAAAAAATTACGGATCTTGGGCTGGATCCGGTTTTGATGGATCCGATTTTTTCCGATTTTTTTTACTAACACAAAGTGGTCTGTATCCATGTAAAAGACCGATTTTTTCCCGATTTTTTTACTCAATGTCACAGTGCTGTATATTACGACGTCAATAACCTCTATAGTTAGGCAATGTCACAGTACTGTATATTACGACGCCAATAACCTCTATGGTTGTGCAATGTCACAGTACTGTATATTACGACATCAATAACCTGTATGGCTGGGCAATGTCACAGACCTGTATATTAAAACGTCAATAACCTGTATGGTTGGGCAATGTCACAGTACTGTATATTACGACGTCAATAACCTGTATGGCTGGGCAATGTCACAGTACTTTATATAACGACGTCAATAACCTGTATGGCTGGGCAATGTCACGGTAGCCTACTGTATATTACGACGTCAATAACCTCTATGGATGGGCAATGTCACAGTACTGTATATTCTAACCTGTATGGCTGGGCAATGTCACAGTACTTTATATTACGACGTCAATAACCTGTATGGCTGGGCAATGTCACAGTAGCCTACTGTATATTACGACGTCAATAACCTGTATGGTTGGGCAATGTCACAGTACTGTCGTCAATAACCTGTATGGTTAGGCAATGTCACAGTATTGTATATTACGACGTCAATAACCTCTATGGTTGGGCAATGTCACAGTACTGTATGTTATGACTAGGGATGAGTCGAATCCAGATCTCGAATCCACCGAATCTTAAGAAAAGATCGGGATTCGAGAATATATTTTTTTAGAATAGAATTATGAGGCATATACTGTAACATTGACTAACCATAGAGGTTAATGACGTCGTAATATACAGTACTGTGACATTGCCCAACCATAGAAGTTATTGACGTCGTAATATACAGTACCTTGACATTGCCCAACCAAGGAAGTTATTGACGTCATAATATACAGTACTGTGACATTGCCTAACCATACAGGTTAATGACAACGTAATATACAGTACTGTGGCAATGCCTAACCATACAGGTTATTGACGTCATAATATACAGTACTGTGACATTGCCCATCCATACAGGTTATTGACAACGTAATATACAGTACTGTGACATTGCCTAACCATAGAGGTTATTGACGTCCTACGTACATGGACACAGATAGTCTTGTACATGGACACTGACAGTCTTGTACATGGACACATATAGTCTTGTACATGTACAGTGACAGTCTTGTATATGGACACAGAAAGTCTTCTATTTCGACACTATTAGTCTTGTACAACATGGACACAGTTGTATATTGACACTTTGACAGTCTTGTATATGGACACAGATAGTCTTGTACATGGACACTGACAGTCTTGTACATGGACACATATAGCCTTGTACATGTACACTGACATTCTTGTACATGGACACATACCTATAGTCTTGTACATGTACAGTGACAGTCTTGTACATGGACACAGATAGTCTTCTATTTCGACACTATTAATCTTGTACAACATGGACACAGATAGTCTTGTATATTGACACTTTGACAGTCTTGTATATGGACACAGATAGTCTTGTATATTGACGCTGACAGTCTTGTACATGGACACATATAGCCTTGTACATGTACACTGACAGTCTTGTACATGGACACATACCTATAGTCTTGTACATGTACAGTGACAGGCAAGCTTTTGAGCGAGTAGGCGTGTAAAGTAGCCCAGTGTGAACACAGTTGCTTGTGCTTGTGCGCTTGTTACTCAAAGATGTTGGAGGATTTGGTTCAAGCCAGCTACTGAGCGAGTGGAAAAAGCGTCGTGTGAGTGAACGACTACAAGCGCACTCGCCGACTCGCCGGCGTCTTTCTACACGTCTGCGAGTTGGCGAGTGGACAAGCTCCGTGTAAACGAATACAAGCACACTCGCCAATTCGCAGGCTTCTTACACGTTGGCGTGTAGCTTGTAAACTCGCCCTGTGTGAACGGGCCTTATTAGTCCTATACAACATGAACACAGATAGTCTTGTATATTGACACTTTGACAGTCTTGTATATGGACACGGATAGTCTTGTACATGGACACTGACAGTCTTGTATGTGGACACAGATAGTCTGGCATATCCACACTGATAGTCTTGTATATGAACACAGATAGTCTTGTATATGAAGTTTATTTGAATTTTTTTTCAACTTATTAATTATATTTTAAAATACATTACTATGACAAAGCACCTGTTCTCTTATGTATTAATTATACTTTATAAAGAACGTTATGTAAAGAAAAAAATAAAATAAAATAAAGAAAAACCCCGGCTCCAGCCCTGGATCCGATCGGGTGTCGGTTCTAGCTTTTTACTTTTTATGAATGTTGAGAGGGATTTGTTTTATGATCTAGATAAAGACAAAATAATAGATGCAGTTGCTTCAACAAGTGAATTGCTTACAAGGAAACTTATACTTTAAGGCAAGAGGAGTAGAAAAAAAAACGTCAATTAAAATAAACCACTGTCATTCTAGAGGGTAAATAGTTGACAAATAAATAAACATGATTAAAAATCTTAGTATTATTTTATACTAGCTGTACCCGCGGGCTTCGCCCCGTTTAACTTCATAAGTATTCGCATGGCTCATTCACGTCCTGGTTGAAGTTCGTTCGCTACGCTCACTCACCTTTAGGTTGGAGCTCGTTCGCTGCGCTCACTTGCCTTCAGGTTAGCTCGTTCGCTACGCTAACTCGCCTCCAGGTTGAAGTTTGTTCGCTACGCTCACTCACCTTTTGGTTGGAAATTAGCTGTTGTCATATATTAAAAAAAAATTAATAGTGCTGCACCCTGTTGGTAATCCTTTTAACTTTTATGCTATTGAATATCATAGAACAGAACCAACTTGTTTAATTGAAACAGCTGTTAAGATTCATTAATTCCTTTTAAATATGAAAAATCATAAGATTAACATGGGGAACTACAGAGCCACTGGGGCGGAGCCCGAAAGGGTTTTTGAGATAAGAATATGCTTTAATGTTAATCGGGAATGTGAGCTATCATTATGCCAAATTCCAGCCCAATCCGTCCAGTAGTTTATGCGTGATTGAGCAACACACACACAAACACACACACAAACATACACACAAACATACACACAAACTCACAAACTTTCAGATTTATAATATTAGTAAGATATCAAAAAAATTTTCATTATTTTTACTAGATAAACAACTCAACATCTGTGAATTATTTCATCACTTATAATAAAATACAATCCTTAATTTTAAAACTTTTTTTCAATTATAAGCAAATTTACATTAGGCCTAATTTAAATGCTGCAGTGTTTAAAGTACCATGCTATTGCTATGGAAAATAATACCCCAGTAGAGGGTCCCTTTACAGGTCTTAGCTGAGGGCCCCAAATGTTCCCAGTCCGGGCCTGATACTCACAATGTACTTAACAGTTCAATATAATCAACATTTCTTGTAAATATTTTATCATTTTTCAAAAGCTGATCTGGCTTTTAGTGTATTGTAGAAATGTTTCCCACTTATAGCCGCAATTAGGTTGTCCATGTTGGTCTTTGTCAATGATAATGTAGTCTGCATGGTATCACCCATTGTCGCCAGCACGTTTACAAATTTAAGTCTTTATTTTAATAGCACCAAATAACCATTAACTACCTGATTTTCTGCATAACCTCTCTGTCACAATTTTACAATTAACATATGTTTTTCTTCTCACTTTTAATTTCTGAAATCAGGTGGAGTTTCATAACAATGCTTGTTTCCCATGTTAATCAAATGGAGAAATACAAAACTTCAAAGGGCCCCAGGGCCTCACTCTATAGTTATTTCCCTAAAAATAAAGTTTCCTGCACAACTTCACGTTACACTCTTTCCAATGACACTAAAAACATGTCAATCGGTTCAGTAGTTTCGGAGGAGTAATTGTCACAAAAAAACTTGCTTGAGTACCGTATTAAATAAGTATAGATACTTCGATTTGATATTAGTGGCTTTCACCATCCTCAATTGGAATCTTGGACTATAAACTTATTTGGAAAGTAAAGTGAGAATTTCAATATAGGCGAGCTTACATTTTCAACAGATGACGACATTTCTTTGTCCTCTGGTGGTTCAATGTTAGCTGATTTGACCGGCAATGTTGGTGATTGAGACAACGTTTTTCCAGCTGAATCCTCTTCAAAAGGTATATCCCCAGTCTTGTTGTTATTTACCTGAAACAGTAACAGTTTTAATCATAGGAATAATAATTTGCTCTTAATCGTTGAAATAAGCAAGAATTTCAATATTTTTTAGAAAAAAAATGGACAGAATTTAATTCAAATGTAATCATTTCTTCACAGAGTGTCATTCACAATAACAATTTAAGTAAAGTAATGATATTTGTATACCAAAGTTCAATTATTGTACAGCTTATTACCACTATACATACTCAACACTTTGGTCTAATAAGGTAGCGGTAAGGACAAAATAATTTTAAAATGTTAAATTCATAGCAAATTAAAAATTAGTTTGCTTCCAAGTTAAATGTTTATTATGCATTCTTAAGCATTAAATAATTACTGTCACAGAGAAGTAAGAAACAGAGGATACATTCAATGGTACAATTAAGTGGTGTCTACTACCAGTCGCTGGTGGCTAGAACAAATTCTATTCGTCGCCCCCTTCTGCTTTCCTTTCTCCATCACATACTACAACGCTCATGTGGTAGGAATACCCTGTGCTCTAAAACTGCTGTACAAATATGCTATGTGGTCCTACCCGTTCAGGCTCTTCCTTGCTCGATACTAGTACATTTCCGCCTCAACATACAGGCTTCCATAGGTTGTTCCATAAGCATCCTCTGTATTTAACTTCTCAGTGAAACTAACTGTTAAACTAAATGTGTAACTAGAACAAACTCACTACTGTACTACTGTTCCACACTGAAGATTGGCTCTAAAACCCTAGTAGAGCCCTCCAGGCCTAGAGCCTATGGTAAAAATAGTGTTCAGTTCAGATTTGGATGGTTTTGGAGGATTTGGGCACTTACGTTTTAATGTTGCTCAGCACAAAAAACAAACAGTCCAATACAATAGTTTGGTAATAGGCCTATTTTTCTTTTAAGATGTAAAAACTTAAAAAAAGTGTATACTTATATTTTTAAAAGAATATTTATTCATTAAAAAATAACTACCATACGAGTTAATAACTTATGCATTCCTATGGAACTCAAATCGACGAGATCGACAAAGACGTACTGTCTTACTGTATGATGGATATCACTCAACTGACTGCATTTTTAAAAGATCTGCCATGTAAGTATTGCCTGGACAATAATTGTGAGATAGTTCTTTCAAAGAAAAATGGCTTTGCACTAGATATTACAATTCATTGTAAATCTTGCGAACAATCAAATACTTTCACATCATCCCAAAAAGTGGCCAGTGAAACAATCGTTAACCACACACACGAGTGTTAGTAAGTCTTCATTTGATGTAAATAGGAGAGTAATAAAAACATTTCTCTCCTTAAGGATATATGGGCCTGCAAACATTTAGTATGGGCATGAATATGCCTTGTATAAATCACTCGGCATATGATAAACACATATCAATAATAAAAGATACAACGACACGTCATGCGGAAGAAACTCTGAAACGCGCTCGAGTAGAGGTTGCAAAGGCCTATTCAGAGCTGAATGGCCTTGGCTTGGATGTAAAATTGCCATTAGACATAGTAGTTAGCTATGATGGTACCTGGCAGAAACGGGGATTCACATCTAAATATGGTGTTGGTACCGTAATCGACTTGATAACCGGCCTCGTTATCAATTACGAGGTGGTATCTAAATATTGTAGAGTTTGCGAAAGAGTCAAGAGCGAAATGGGTGAAGAAACAGATGAATACCAATAGTGGTTGATAGAGCATCAGCCTAATTGTCATATGAACTATGAAGGTTCATCACCGGCAATGGAGGTTGAATGTGCGGAGCGGATTTGGCGGCGTTCGGAGGCAGCGGGGTTCCGCTATACCAGTGTAATATCGGACGGCGACTCAAAGACATTCGACCACTTAGCGACATTGAATATTTATGGAAATGATGTACAAATTGAAAAGCAAGAATGCATAAATCATGTAGCCAAACGTCTAGGAACAGCTGCTCGAGCACTTGTGAAAGACTACGCTAAAAAAACTGCTAAGAAAAAATTAACATTAGGTGGCAAGGCCTACGTAAGCCTAAAGGGTACTACAATTGACAAGTTATGCAAGTATTATAGGAATGCTGTGGTTAATAATCTAGAAGACATTGCAGCAATGAAAAAAGCAATTTTTGCAACACTGGATCATTGTCAGTCTACTGACAAAGACCCTAAACACGACAATTGTCCTCCGGGTAATGAAAGTTGGTGTTTTTACCAAAGAGATATATCCAACGGTTTACAGCCTAGGCCACATACTGTGGGTGTGAAGACTCCACTAAATAAGTTGGTTGTTGAGCACCTGAAACCTATATACAAACGCCTCACTTCAGACAATTTACTGCAACGCTGCTCTAAAGGAAAAACTCAAAACGCTAACGAGGCGCTAAATGGCGTTATTTAGAGTAAGTGTCCGAAAACTACATTTGCATCAAGACAATTTTGCATCAATAGAGGCTGGGGTTGCTGAAGGAGTCAGTGTGTACAATGAAGGCTATTTGCTAACCATGACTAAGCTTCTAAACACAACAGGTTTATCTCCTGGTAGGTCAACGGTACAACTCGCCAAGCAGAAAGACGCCACACGCCTACGGATACGCAAAGCTAGAAAAACCAGTACATACCAAACATACAGAAAACTGAAAAAGCAAGCTCAACTAAGAGAAGAAGAAAAAAAGAGAAGAGAAGGGGACACATATGGAGCTGGCCAGTTTTAAAACATGTAAGTTTACTCAGTGCTTTAGTGTCAGGTCAACTTTCTAAGCCGATTCCCGAAAATTGAGTTTTCCCTGTTTGTTTGTGACATAATGTTGAATAACTTTTTTACTATAAGAGATAATTGCCTGAAATTTTTACCAGTGTATCTTTATACTAAAATGATGATTTGCTGGTATAGATAGCTTTCTACAGTTATTTTGTCATAATAAAAAAAATTGTTTTTAAAATATTATTTTTATGTAAATACCTGTAAAAAGTTTTTTCATTGGTTTAGACTAATGAAAATACCGGGGAAATTTCCTTTTATCATTACAAACAATGAAAAAAAAATTATTAAAATCCATCAACAAACAAAAAAGTTATTAAAAAATTTTTATAGATAAACAAAAACTTAAAAAAAGTGGAAAATTATTAAAAAAAAAATTTTAAGGAAGAAAACTGGAGTTGTCATGGATGTTTTTATGATTTTTAGGTCAATATTAACCATATTTGGTGGTAAAAAATAGATTAGTTAAAAAAATTAAAAAAATAGCCCAGATGGTGGCGGATCCCCTTAAGGGATAAAAAAGTGATAATAGCTTAAGACAGTAGGTATTTATGGCTATTATTGATATACCAAGTCTCACTACTTTATCTATATTGTTAAAAAAGTATAGCCAATCCAGGACTTTTCAACCATGCTGTATAACGCCAACACAAAATGTTTCCGTTGAACTCCTCCGCATTTCTTAGGCGATTTTGACCATTCATGTCTCATTAGAAAGAGCGTGTCACGTACATTTGCAAACCAACTGTAGAATGTATCAATGGTCAGCATTACACATAGTATAATAAATAAGTCAACTCTAAATATGACTTTAAATTTGTTTCCAAATGCTGAATGTTTACAGCTGTTATGTTAAGCAAATTATTTTGTACTAAAAGGTTAGCGTCGGCTGCTAGACATTTAAAAATTAAAACTTAATTTCTAAAAAACTGGGACCCTTAATTATAATTATGGCTTTGACATTCCCTAGTCCTCAAAATTAACTTTCTTTCAACACAAAAATAATGAAAATCCGTCGACTGGTTAATTCAGAAAGTGAAAAAAACCCCATTTACGTTTCAATAATATATATGATAGTTTGGACAGGTTTCAACCCTTCCGGGGCGTAATACATTAACACAGTTTATGTGTAGACTACATTATAACTCATAAAATAGTTCTAAAATTAAATGGATCTCCTGTTACAAACGTATATAATAACCAGAAATTTTCAGATCGTCCTTGCGTGTATTTCATGCCACAAATTTTGACGAAAGACTTTTTATTACATAAACTATACCTATTTACAGTGTTGAACAAACAGTTGGCAAGAAGCATTAATAGATAAGCTATGTACCAAATATGATAATTTTAGCTCTATTCTAATTATGACAAAACACGAAGTAACTAAAAGCGAGTTTTGTTTGTGTAGTAAGCGTTGCAGGAGGCCTACTTTACACTGAATCGACGTTCACTTTTAATTGCTTTTGATCTTCCGGCACTGTTGACTCAGCGAAACTGAACTTGTATTTTACCGTATTTCGTTATATTAAAACTGCTGTTGCATTAGATCAAATTCCCAATGTGTCAATCGCTTTAACATGGACCACGTTTTTAGCACGGACTGTATTATTTGACTTACTGGGACTTTTGATCTACAGACACTGCAAACATTGTAGTTTTTGACCTAGCGGCACAGGTATAAATATTTGACCTTCCGGCACTGTTGACTTCCAGCAACATTCCCAGGTTAACGACTTATAATATCACAACTGTGCAGTATTTATATTGTAGTTTTTATGTTAAACATGCAAATTATAACTCCTTAATCTTAATATTAATTTATTCTTCATCTTAATATTAATTTATTAAGTACTTGAACATAAAACAATCCGAATCTGGTATCCCATCTGAGCCTTAACAATCAGATCTGAACTGAAATTTCACTATCCGGCCATCCGCATACCCCTACTGTTACCAAATTTACCCCCCCCCCCCCACTCTTTGTCGGCCATGTACTATTTTGAATCACTACACGTTTAATCCTGAACGCTTAAAACATTCTAAAAGAGTTCATTGCAGTTACCTGTGAAACAATGTTCTGCTTTCGCTGAGCACAAAGCTCCAAAGCCTGCTCAATGAAGCACAGTTCTGGACATCCTTGATTTTCTTCACGCTCCTTGTCCAACTCCATCATCTCCTGGTCAATGATCTGCAGCACCTACAGAACAGACAAACAACCATCAGTTGGCGCACACTTTATGTCACTAAATGCTCTTGATTTGACTCAACATGTAGTAGAATAAGAATAAGAATCTTTATTACCCTTTAAACATTAGGGTTTGTCATTTGCTACATAATAAATTGCTTCATAATTTTAAAATGTAATCAAATATTTCAAAGAAAATACAAAAAATTTAATTAAATAAGTTTAAACAAGCTGGTCAGGTTTAAAATCGACTAATGGCAGGTACGTAATGAAACACTAGGTAAAAAATATAGGCAAAATAAAATTTAAAATATAACAAGTACATAGAAACAATACTAACATGGCTAATAACTTCAGTATGATGTAGTAAACCATTTTTAGATGAATATTACAGATTTTAACCCATTTTTGCATTGGACCGAATTGACGCGGCCGCACCCGAAACGACGCGGCTGCGCCCGAGTCTGAATTGCCTCGGGATTACCGCATTTTAAAATTTAATTTATTTATAATAGACTACAACGTATTACCCAATGTTAAATATCCAACTAATTGTTGTTGTGGTTTTATTGTCAACTGCGTTTGTTACCTCTAAAGTCAGTTGAGCGACCCTATTATTTTTTGTATCATTCTTAATGGTTTATCTATTGTTCAGCATCCCAAGGGAACCAATAATTTATTCAAGAGATAAGAGATGTCCTACTCTATAAATGGCTTAAACTGAAACTAATGGTCGTAAAAAGACAGATTATGGCTTATTTTGTTGGTCTAACTATTACAAAATCAATAAAATGTCAATAAAAGTTGTGGGAAATTCCGTTCAATTCCGTGAGATATTATTAATACAATCACTGTATCCGTTTATCATGTTCCCCGACTGCTCAAAGTTCGATAAATCGTCAATTCGGATTCAATTAATCATTCGGTTGTGCATCCGAATTGACGGAGTCCAAATTGACTATTTCAGCTTCCGAGTTCCGCTTTGTCACCTGGGTCTACTTCATTGCAACCAAATTTGTAGGTTATGTTCTTACGTCAACTTTTGTTTTGATGAGATCAAAACAGTTTTATTTTACTCATGAATTAATGATAAATCACCAATTCGGATTCAATGAATCATACTCGGTCATGCATCCGAATTGACGGCGTCCGAATTGATGATTTCAGCTTTCGAGTTCTGCTACGTGATCAGGGTCTACCTAATTGCAACCAAATTTGTAGGTTATGTTCTTACTTCAACTTTTGTTTTGATGAGATAAAAACTGTTATAATCGTTTTTGGAATAATACTAATAAAATACCCAGCCGAAATGACGAGCAATTAAGGTGTTTAAGAATCTTCAGGGTGTTTAGTTATTTCCATTTTAAAATTCAAGACTAATTCCAGATTTTTCTAGACTAGTTTTTTCAACAAGTGATTCTAATAGGAATTTAATAGGACTACCATAGCTCCTGCTCATTAAAATAACAAATAAACAACATGGAAGTCCTATTAAATTGCGTAACTGAATCTAAATAAAAAATAATAACTCTGTTGTTTGTCATCCGATTTTAACAAAAAAGGTCTTATTTGATTTGGACTTAAATTTTCTATACCTATTTTTGATCTGAAGAACAATTTTCTTAATATTTACGGTTTCTATGAAATTCGGCATTAAAGTTTTTCAATGGCCGCCATAATTGAAACGGCTTGAGATAATGGAACCAAACTAACTTTGTAAGCTTTTTTTACTTACTAAAATACACATTTATACTAATTTTGAAATGTATACTGTATCTCAAAAAATGCTCAAGATATAAAACAATTCTTAAAAATCACAAACAGAACTCTAAGCATTTTGGACCCATACTTATATGGCATTTTATGTTTGTCTTAGCCCAAGGAACAAGTCAAAAAAATATATCCAGACAATTTGGAAACACCCTGTATATATATATATACATATATACAAATTTAAACAAATAGTGTTTTAGGCCTCTGGGGACATCAAAATGAAAAATTAAATCGGTTCCGGGCCTAGGTCTTGCCCTGAGACCTACGGTGATAGCTCTACTTCCCTATAGGGAAATTCGCTAAAACATCGTAGATTAGTACCTACATACCACATTTCATCAAAATCGGACCACAGGTGTGGTCTGTAGCTCTGTACACATCCACACATAGGCCTACAGACATCACTTAAAACCACTCTTTTGGGCCCAAAACTTATATATCAACTCAAAGCTCAAACTCGAAAATGTTGACGAAAACAATATGTACCTACTTTCTCCATATAGGTAGTATATAGGGGGAGAAAGTAAAACAACTTTTTTGGGTCCAGAGGGTCAAAATTTTTACAAAAACAATACTTTTTCCATATAGGCAACTAGGTATACAGGGAGAAAGTGATAGAAACTAAATTAAAGATCACCATTTTTTTTTTTTTTTATAGGCCTATGGATATTCTTATGCAGGGGAGAAAAAGTAAAAATCCTAATTTTTATAAACATTTTTGAATTGGGTACCTCAGCTTCATTTGCAGTGAGAAGTTTGGCAAAAGCGGTGTCCAATTGATTCTCTGAGACATTCAGCACAGGTTTATGTTTTGAGCGTACTTCATATTGTGACACAGGACATGCAAGAAGAGAACCTCTTTCGCGTGTCATCAGTTGAAACGTTATCTGCTTGCCCACACTGTGTCCCACTTTACTCTCAACCTTGACACTGAAAAAGTATAAATAAAGTACAGTAAGATTTTAACATTTTAAGATCCTCATGAAAATTTAAATGTATATTTTTAATTCATTCATACAAAGGTTAGTTGTAAGGCTAACTGTCATTTAATATAGTTTTTTTTTTTTTTTTGTCCTAGGACGCTAAGCACGAGCCTGGGATTGTTTTTCACATTACTTCAGGCTAGACCTAGGGGTTGCGGCATTATCACTTAGATAAAATCCATTGGTGACTTGGCGGGGATTGGACCCAGGACCTCAGGGACTGAAGTCCTGCGCTCTAACCACTACACCAGCTCGCTCCCAAATATCATATAATATAATTCCATTTAATATAGTAGAACTAGAATTTCCGAAGCAATTTGGACCGGATCTGGATAGTCAAAAATCTAGATGGTTGTATTTTTTAAGAAAAAAGTAAAAAAGTAACTTGAAACAAAATTGAAAAAGTACATTTTAACATTCCTGTAAAAACGGTATACATAAAATAATACAATAGCCTAGTATATAACTAACTTTTTACAATTAACACGTTCTCTACTGCAATAGTACGAAATTTTTCATTCACATGGACCAGCGACGCACATGTGCGACGGCCGGTTTCCACCCATAGACTGCCGTTGCATATATGCGACGGCTAGTCACATTAAAATAGACTGACGACACATATTTGCGTCGGGGTTCTAATGTTATTAAAAATGCTTATATCTTTGTAACGGTCTATTTGAATGCACTGAATTCCCTGCAGTGGTCTACAGAGATGTCTGACGCACAACTGCGTCGCTTGGTCTGTGGATATGATGATTGGTGACATCATATGATGTTTGGAAAAACTGGTCTTTACTTTTCTGCATCACCGTATGTATGTATGCAGTATTTATGATGCATTATCCTCTGTAGCTTTTATATTTGTTCAGTTATAAACTGTTCTTGAATAATCTGTCTTTTTTACTTACTTTTACCTCAAAACACAAACAAAAATGAACTGTCGCATATATGCGACGTTTGGTCTATTTCAAGAAAACTATGATAATTTTCATTATTGTCTTTGCTATAGACCGGGCGTCGCAAATATGCAACATTACAAAAGGTTATAAAAAATACAAAAAACAAGAATAAATTATTTAAAAACACGATTGTAGCACATTACAATGTAAATGATCACTGTTTTACAGGTTTTCACCCGTGGTCTGTGTTGTACTGTTAACCAAGTGACAGCCGGTCTATGTGTAAGATTCAAATGTATACCTCGGTCTGTGGCAATGACCGTGGCGTCGCATATATGCGACGCTCAGTAGCGAATGTGTTAATTTTTAAACATTTCTGTAAGAATCAATCGTTGCACACCGATTGATTTGATACGACACTACAATAGACTCGCTGCATGATGGACACAATTGGCACACATTAAAATACATAGCAAATTTCCTATTAATGGACTTCTACTGATATTCAGCAGATAGAAACTCATCATGCTATAATCCCCAGGGGCTTCTTCTTCCAACGAATATTTAAAAGGCATAATTAAATTAATGAAGTGTATTAATTTAGTGGAAACTAGAGGTGTGCGAGTAATCGAACCTTCCAAGCTTTTTGGTCGAACTTTCCATTATTTGGCTCGGCTCTAGACATTTAAAACTAGGGTGGTCTGCCGTTACACTTTAGACGCATAAATGAGCGAAGCATTATTTAAAGATTGTCAATGGCTAAAGCAGCTAACAACCTACAATATGTTCCCATTCAACAGATTCACTGTTTGCCCAATATTATTTCAGTTCTAAAGAATGACAAATTTATCTGATAGTTCATACTGTACCTTTGTAGTGAAACTGGCCATCCTGACTATTTGCTTGTACTTGGTAAATGGGCGTAGCAGGATGTACTCGTGCAATCAACATTTGTTCTACAATCGTCAGGTCAGTTAATTCGTTCGGGACACTTGACTCATCCATATTATTTAACGCCGTGAATTTAGTTGCATTTGAACGACAACGCGAACAAATCGGTGATTGGTTTAAAGCTGTTAGTTGTTGGCGATGACAGTTAGTGCAAGTATAAAATTGTAGTGCATCTAATACATGTTGGAATTGATTAGCTAACTGCCTATCAATCTGGTTCTTCTTGTTCACGACGCCACTATCATACAATATTTGCATTATTGGTGCGACGACCAATATTACGACGTGGTCTTTGAGCCATGCTCAAAACAAATATAGCAAAACTGTTACTTCCATTGATAAACTAACTTTAACCTAGGATGAAAGTAAACATTGAAATGTAAACAAAACAGTTACAAACAATTAACATATGTTTATCTTATTTAAATAAAACAAGATAAACCCATATGTCATAAACGCAATATAATTTTTCTTTCAACTTACATTAAAATAACAAGCGAAATTGCGGGAAATTTGCAAATATTTTTTTCCAAAACTCTTTAGTATTCCAAAATTGTTCTCAGTATTCTTTAGCTGTTGGCCAAATTTCATATCAATTGGTCAAGCCATTACATTCTGATGCTCTTACAAAGAAGTTACAAAGTGAGGGAAAGTGAGCTACGCTCGCTCCGCTCGCTTCGCTCAATAATCTTGAGTAGAGCCGAGCTTTTAATACTAAGTAATAATACACTTAATTTGTGTAGTAATTGAAAAGAATGTTATCACGGTTCTACATTGTTAATGCATTTGTTTTTCCCCGAAGCAAATGTTTTTAGACATGTAATTCTTTGTCTCAGACTCATAGCAGACAGTTTGTTTTGGTGAAACGAAACTCGATCAGGAATCCAACGCAACCTCACACAGCTTAAAATGACCAAAAGTAGCCAAAAGTAAGGAATTTTACAAATAGGTCACCGAAAAACTCATATCTGTATGGGCAATACGGTTGGGCTATTTGACAGTTCTGTTTGGCTTTCAATTTAGACAACATCTGCATATAAAAAGTCAGGAATAACAATTTAGTTATCAAACTGTGAATAGTGACAATGCTCAGTAAAAACTCTAATATTTAAAAGCCAGAAGTGATGTATATTTATATATATGGTAGGGTGAAGTGGGGTAAGTGTGACCTAAAAATCATAAAGTTCATCTTTACAACTTTTTTTCTCTGTTATTTCTAAAGCTAGAAACTTGAAATTTTTAACACTTAAACTTTGGAAATATCTTTATTGGTAAAAAAAATCAATGTGATAAACTTATGCTTTCACTATTTTTTTTACTTACAAAAAATGCCTGCCAGCTGTCACACTTGCCCCATGGGGTCGTGGCAAGTGTGATAGCGGCCTCTATAAAATCCTGTATTTCTTTTAATGGTAAATAGAGCAATTGTGATAAATACCCAGTTAGTACTCTTTCAGGAACATTTTGATTTAAGTCCCTATCATTCTTACTTTTTGAGATATTTACAAATGAAATAAAGACGTACAAAACTGCGGAAATTTGTAAAAACTTGCGTCAGATCACACCATTGATATATAACTACTACTGGATTGCGCGCTGTCCATAAGAGCTGTGTAGAGAAATTCGGTCGCGTACAGGTGTGAGTGGCGGGACGTATCGCGGTGTTGCAGGCGCCCGGTAGGGGCAAAACAGCAACTCGCGCTGCCGCCCACTGCTATTTCCGCCAACGAACTATCCCGCCAAAAAAATATTCCGCCACTAGCAACCCCGCCAAATCTATAATAGTTTTTTTTACAATTCGAGGTCATGTACGAAGAAGCAAAAGTAAACCACCTGTGAATGAATCATCCTGCCAGTTATTAGTGGACAGATAGCACTTTCACGTGGTAGTTTGGTTAGTAATGTATGAATTAATGAAATATGAAATCATGATTTATTCAACCATAATTACATTACATACAAATGAAATAAAAACTTGGAATTAAGTTGCCACAGCATCCAGTTAATGTGACAACGTTCAAGAAAGAGAATTGATGAAGTGAGTCGGTGGCTCAGTCGGTAGCGTCGCGGACCCAAGGCAGCGATGTCGTGGGTTCGGGTCCTGGTCACTGCCGATAACATTTTATCAGTACAGTTCACCTTTGTACTGTACCGGCTCACTCCTTGCTTTGCTGTAAACGATTCACGCACGGGCGCTTAGTCTATGTGGACACGCAAATGCAAGGTTAAAAGAGGCCGCCAACCTCTTAAAAAAAAATACCCCCGCCGCAGCAAACCTGCCGACTAAGCGAATTTCCATTTGTCTTAATTGATTTTCAATTAAATATATTTTAATAACATTAGGTTTAACAAGTACCTAGGTTTGCTGCTACAAGGAAACTAATAAAGTGTGTTTTTTTGTAAAATATTGATAGCTTAGTACAAAATAAATAAATTTGATCAAAATACAAGTATATCATCCATAAACAAGCAAACTACAACATTTTACAATATTCTCCATGAGAATAACATGGGAATTTTAAATTTTTTAAAGCCCCGTTCCCATTGTCCGATCATGCTGGTTCGCGAACTCATTCAAGTTTATCCCGCTTTACACCTTTAAACTAAATTTCATCAAAATCGGACAAAAATTACTCAAGTTATCGCGTTCACGGACGTATATATATATATACTAGCTGACCCGGCGAACTTCGTATCGCCTAAGTTATAGGTTTCCCCTAAGACAGACCGATGGAAAGAAAGTACCGTTACGTTTAATTTTCAAGATGATCTCGTTCGCATCGCTCAATCACGTCCTGGTTGAAGTTCGTTCGCTACGCTCACTCACCTTTGGGTTGGAGCTCGTTCGCTACACTCACTCACCTTTAGGTCGGAGCTCGTTCGCTGTGCTCACTTGCCTTCAGGTTAGCTCGTTCGCTACGCTAACTCGCCTCCAGGTTGAAGTTCGTTCGCTACGCTCACTCACCTTTGGGTTGGAGCTCGTTCGCTACGCTCACTCACCTTTAGGTTGGAGCTCGTTCGCTGCGCTCACTTGCCTTCAGGTTAGCTCGTTCGCTACGCTAACTCACCTCTCACCTCCAGGTTGAAGTTCGTT